TTTGTTTCCTTTCCTCCAAATTTGGGGAAGCGTTTTTTTTTTTTTTTTTTTTTTTTTCCAGAAGAACAGGAAGTACAAGATTAGAGATAGTTCTGTTTTTATCAGCTATGTCCTTTCTTATATTTCTACAATGCCAGAATACAATGTTAGCTAATTTGCCCATTCCTCTGTAAGATAGTTTTTTCCTCTGATACAGGGTTACAAGTACAGATTATTACTTCCTAAGCGATGGTCTTTATGTACCAGAAGACCAGCTGGAGAACCAAAAACCTTTACAATTGGATGTAATTACGGTAAAACCTTATAAACTCTGTAATAATCCAAAAGAAAATGCTGCGGTGTCTTCTGCTAAGAAGCCAAAACTAGTACTGGAAGATCCTGAAAACACTGCTTCTACTAACTGTGACTCTTATTCAGAAGGACTGGAAAAGGACACAGTGACACAGAGAAGTGACAAAACTTGCCTAGAGCCATCACATTTATGTTCTTCCGAAAGTCACGAGTGCCCGACTGTAGCCAGCACCAGGGAAATTCTGGAAATGCTGAAGAAAGGGGATGCGTTTGTTCTAGATATTGACTTGGATTTTTTTTCAGTCAAGAATCCCTTCAAAGAAATGTTCACTCAGGTAAATAGGGTATTTTTAAAGCATAGCTCTTGAAAGTTGTATGACATTTCTCTAGATGAGGAGTCAGCAAACTTTGCAAACAGCCGGAAAGTAATCATTTCAGACTTTGGGGGCCCCATTCTGTCACATATTCTTCTTTATTATAATTTTTTTTAACTTTTTAAAATTCTTAACTTGAGGGCCATATAGAAGCAGGCGACAGGCCCTGGATTGCTGACCCCTGTTCTAAATATTTATTATTTTGTATTTATGAACTGGGTTTAATACATACATGGGTCATCAGAAAAATGTGAAATCATATAAGAAAGTATATTGAAATATCTTATTTCAGCCCTATTCCCTTGGTTCCTTAGTTCAGAAACAGATACTGGGACCATTTCTTCTGTCTCTTTCCCAAGATGTGTTCTGCATATATAAAACCTTGTGTGACAGATTTTTCTTTAAACAATGAGGTGCCAGTTACACATCCCTGTATGTAGCTAATGATTCAGGCCTATCATCCTTGAGGTAGATGCCTCATTAGATCCTAATTGTGAGTCACTAGATTATATTAATCTGCACAGATCTGAGATAGAAATACGCATTTTTTATTTGCTAACTTTGTGATCCAAGTGAGTATTTCTAGGTGTGACTTATGGGCACACGTAATTACTTAACTTAACATTTGGGAATTACTCCAGATCTCCTTTTGGGGATTCAAGTTTACTGTCTTTTTTCTAAGTTCTAAGTGTTTGATTTATAATGATGATGTTGGTGATAATGTTGCATTTTACAGTACTTTGTTTACGTATCAGAAGCCATCATGATTTATCTAAATTATCAAAGACCTCTAGTAGGTACTGATTTAAAAGAAATAAGGCCTGGGGGTGGGGGGAAGCAGCAGGTGGCGTGGAGGTTAAGGTGTTGGGCACTACCACATGGCTGACCATGGCTTGAGTCCCGGACCTAGTGGCTTGCTTTCTCACTTTCTTCTCTCTCTGCATCTGTCTTTCTCTGGTCAAATTAAAATAAGTGAATGAATAAATGAAATTAAATAAATATTTTTAAAAAGAAAAGAAATAAGATTTGGCATAATCTGGAGCAATAGGGACAAAGAGTGCTCTCTCAACATGCAAACAAGGAAGTAAGTTTTTCTTCTATTTGTTTCCTGCTGCTATACATGGAGCCCATTACTTCTGTAACCACCAGCTCTTAGAATTAGTCAGTGGCCTTAGAAATATTCCTTAGGGACCAGCCAATTGCATGGTGGTTAAAATGGCTGGATCCCACATGACCATGGTTTTAGTTCCAGATCTTGTCTGCTTGAGAATACATGCCAGGGAGGTGCGCCCAAGTGCCCAAAATCCCAAGAGGAGAATGGAGAAGGGATTGCAGCACGGCTATCTCTTCTAGGGGGGAGGATTTCTCACTTGCCCTCTCTCTGTCTCTCTCAGTCTAGTGAGCACATGTACCTATGTCAAAAACCTAAAAAAAAAAAAATTTAAAGATATGTATTCTTGTAAATTTTTAAATCTGTTTAGATCTTAAGATATATGCAGTTATATAGTGAAATATTAAGAATATTTTTATCTCATGACTCATTAGCCACCTAGTCATCTTCCATAACTAATTTTATATATTATTTTCATGCCAAGCTGGAAAGATGTGCTCTGAAAAAAAATGATATTCACAATGAAATCTAATTTATACATTTTGACTGATCTTCCCAGACAAATCTCTAATTATTAAAATATTCTTAAATACTTATTTTATTTAACTTTATTTATTTTATTTGGATCAGAGAGGGACAGAGTGAGCAAGCAAGAGACAGAGGGAAAGTGAGAAAGCAAGCCACCAGGTCTGGGACTCAAACCCTGGTTGGCCATATGGGAGTCCAATGTCCTTAACCACCATGCCACCTGCCAGCCCTAAAGCTGTCTTTTGATTACAGTGTATCTTTGAAAAAAAAATTTTTTTTTTCTAACATGTAGATTTGTTTTTTGTTTTCCAGGAGGAATACAAAATCTTACAAGACCTATACCAATTTAGAAAGCCTGGTACCAACCTAACAGAGGTAGGTGACCATTTGTTTCTTTGAGTTCTATCCATTTATCACATATCTAGTAATTCCTTGTAATTTATTAAAGTGATCTCAAAGGACTATCCAAATGGTGTGTGTGTGTATGTGCATGTGTGTATTAGTGAACCCCCTGGCTAATATCTGAAAATCATGTTTTTACTAATTAAACCACGATTTTCATTATAATGGGGTTTTGTTTGTTTTTTAAAGAACAGCTATGAATCTCAGCTTTTCTGTGTGTTTACAGGAAGAATTAGTAGACATTGTTGATACTCGAGTTCATCAATTAGAAGATTTAGAGGCAACTTTTGCTGATTTATGTGATGGTGATGATGAAGAAACTGTGCAGAGATGGGCTAAAAATCCTAGGTAAGACCCAAACTTTTTTCCCCCAAACTCTACTAATTTTTATTCCTAAGCAGATTTCTAAATTTGCTAGATAAATTGTTTTAAGTATTAATTTTAACACAGATTTATAATAATAATTACCACTTAGGAGTATTTTCTCTTTTTTTTTTTTTTTTGGAGAGGTTTTTTGCTATAGGGCACTTATGCTTGCCAGAAAGACAGAGAGAGACAGAAAGCAAGAAATCATCCCTGGGGGGAGGGGGAGGCGGAGCGGTGGCCATGCCATAATCCCTTCTCCATTCTCCTCTTGAGATCTTGGGCACACACACACACACCCAGAGTGGGTTTAAGCTACCGGGTCCGGGATTCAAACTGCTGTCAACTACGTGGGAGTCTAGCAACATAGCCATTACGCCAGCTGCTGGTCCCTACCACTTATGAGTGTTTTCTATGTGCCATGTATTGAAGATTTTTTTCTGGCACTTTCTCATTTATTCCTTATAAAAACCTTATGGTTTCATTATAATTAAATCCATTTTGTAGAAGAGGAAACCAAGGCACAGAGGTTAAATTAGTTGCCCAAAGTCATGTAGTAAGTGGGCTTATTTTTTAGTTCTTCTGTCGTAGCTGCCCCTAAATATAAGATACTATGCTAGGTCATATAGAGGGTTAAGGAGGAGTGCTTAGACAATACCTGTTCTAAGTAGAACAAGAGAATGGGAAAAAATTTCACCTATCAACAGAAAAATAAATTACTTGGCAAGTAAATTACAGTATGATAACTTGATTCCTTTTAAGAACAACCCCACTATGAGTCAAGTTTATTTTCAATCTGTCCAAGACATGAGGGAGCAGGAGACTCCCTTGAAGGCTGGATTCTTTATCATATCATGTGTTTTGCTGATGGTCTCATGACGAAAAAAGTTCCTGTGGAGTTAAAATCTTTGATTTTGCAATTGGCACGAAGGAAAGAATATTGTTATAAATACTGTTGTTACCTGCCTCTAAAATAATCCTTTAAATCAATATATACTAAAATAAAATAAGCAGACAAACCTTTTGTCTGTGAACATAAGATCAGAAGTAGCATATTTTACTCCCACAAACTGTGAAATTACTATCTATTTTGTAAATATGAGAACTCAGTAATAAAACAGCAACATAAAATGGAAAGTTAGAATCATAGTGCTTAGGCGACAATCTGAACAACCGCTGGGATCTGTCATAGTCAGGGCCAACAAGTGGTGTGGTAGTTAAAGCACTGGACTCCCACATGTCTGACCCTGGTTAGAATCCCAGACCCAGCAACTTGAAAATCATGTTGGGCACATGTTCGTGCATACCCAGACTCGCAGGAGAAGAAGATATTACAATGTAGCCATCCCCTGGGGGTGACTTTTCACCTTCCCTCTAACTGTCTCTATCTATCCAGTGAGCACATTCACCCTATGGCAAAAAACCTTTAAAAAAAAAAAGTCTCATAGTACAGTTATTGAAAATAATTTATAAAATTTCTTGAAGAATATAGAGGAAATTGAAACAGTTTCCTCTTCCTCTAGGGAGAACGATTGTGTGGCTAACAGATGAGTAAAAAATACTTTCTTTACCCATGTATATGTATTACCTATTAAAAATGTTTATTGTAAATTACTCTTGAAAATCAGAAATATTCCTAAAATGTAAGTATTAGAAAGGTTTAATTATTGTCACTAAGAAGAGCAGTGGTTTGGAAGAATAATCTATAATAATCTCAGTAAATACTGATCAAGTATCTGACCATCAGTTAATGTATTTTCTCTTCAGTATAGAGAGCTAGTTTCAAAAAATGATTTCCTCTTTTTTGAAATTGTAATAGAAGAGGAAAATAAATAAGTCACATGACCTAAGTCTTCTAAGAAATACTGAAAATACCTACCATTTTGTAATTTCTTGAGCTCTCAAGCCAAAGTTTAAAATGCAAACTTAAAAAAAAAAAAAAAGGCCTGGAAACTTTAAAAAATCCTGCCTCTCTAGATGAGGTCACCTTCCACAGAAAGCCACTATCCCTGCTGGGCATGCGCACTCAGATCCTCACCACCCGCAGGGAGTTGTAGCATGGGCTTGAAGATATGATGAGTTGACTGTGGTTAGAATTGTAGGGAGATAAAAACAGCACTACAGAAGAGCAGGTGAGACAGCAAGATACGTCTCCTCCAAGCTGACGATGTCCCTAAAGGGCCAGCCCCTCAGCACAGTTTCACCTAAGGGAGTGAGGTGGGTGGCAGGATCCAGGAGCCCAGAAAGCCTCAGTAATGAAAAGGAAAAAATAGCAAAGTGAGTGGTCAGGCAGGTCTCCAATGTCTCCCCTTTTCTTTCTTTTTTCCCTTCCAGCAAATTAGTGAATATTGGTAGAGAGGCATTAAAATACTAGAAATGTTAGTCAACTAATCAGGAATTCTAATAAGTTTCACCTAAATTAAATAAAAGTATTAGTATCATATCATGTAGCGTACAACTTTTCTGATTATAATTATATGTACTGACAAGTGTGTCCTTAATTTTCTTTTTCTTTTTTTTCTGTTTTAGTGTTTGGTATAGGGCATGTATGCTCACCAGAGAAGAGACAAGGGGCAGGGGAGTGAGAAATCACTCCCCCAGGGGGAATAGTCATGCCTCATTCCCTTCTCTAGTCTCCTCTCGGGATTTTTGGACACACACATACACACACCACACACACCACACACCCGGTGTGATTTTTCAAACCACCAGGCCCAGGACTCAAAGCTCATAGTCAATAATGTGTGATCTACCACATTATTATTAACCTCCACACCACCTGCTGGTCCATGTACCCTGAATTTTCTTTTCAAACTTTTGAAAAGGTCCTTTTTCATCACAGTGTACTAAAGATACGTAGTTTTCTTGATCAAAATATATTTTAAAGTTATAGTAATACTTCCCATTTTTAAAGAAGAATTATTTTCTTGAGTATTCACTTTTAAGTTTTAGCATCATCTGTAACCTTTTAGGAAACAAAAATAGGAAACACTTATTAATAGTTTAAGATGAGACCCAGCTGCAGTAGTGCACGCAGCTAAGACTCTGTGTTCTACAGGCTGAGACTGCTTTGGAGGCCCAGGAGCTCAAGTCCAACTCTGAAGGCTGGGAAGGTGGCATGTGCCTGTGATCCCAGCACCTTAGGGAAGCTAAGGCAAGAGGGCACAGCGGGACCCTGTCTGAAAAAGCTGGGCGTGCTGGGACGTGCCGGTCCCAGCTGGGAGACTAAGGCAGGAGGATTGTGACACTGAGACCTGTCTTTAAAACAACAGCAAAGATGATATTTGAATAGCTCTGTCTGTCATTTCATTATATGAAGCATATTATGAATAGAAAATGTTAAGTGCAGTGTATCATTTGCTACTATAATTTTAGTTGAGGCAATATTTAATTAAGTAAGGTGGCTTTTTTCCAGAATGGAATCACTAGTTCCACTTGTACAGAGTTTGAAAAAACGGATGGAAGTGCCAGACTATGAAATGGTAAATATTTTATATTAAATTATAAAATTGGCCATTTATGAAGGCAATTTTCTGGGTAGAAAATTTTGCTTTTTGTTAAAGTGGTTTATTTCTACGTTCCTGTGAAATCTGAATTATTAGGAAAATAAATTATTAGATGGATGTATATATACTTTTTAGAAGCCAGAATATAGACAAGGTTTTCTAGGGAAAACATTCTTTTCTCAATTTTGTGTATGAAACAAAAGTACTGAGTTTGTTTGTTTTGTTTTGGTGCCAGGGAGGCCAGTCAGATCGTTTCACCAAAGAAAACAAATACGTAATTAATAAAGTTGACCATTCTCTAGGGACTCATATTTATACTCCCTCTTTCTTTCTTTTCCCCTATTTGAAAATATTACTGATGATAAAAAAACAAGAGAGAGCTATGGCTAATGCATTTTAAGTGTGTTAATTATTTATTCGTTGACAATGTTGTGGCCAAAAGATACTTTTAACCACAATTTTTCTTATTTTTATCTCTCTTTACAGTCTTTGGTGTGTATATTTTTTCACTTGATGATGCTGAAGTTCAAGTGACTTTTCTAAGATTTTATGTCAGAACTTAGACCATCCAATCTTCTACTTCTCTGATGCTTCTCTTCAATAAACTTTGTTTTAATGAGTTATTTAGTTGCAGAACATAATCAAACCACCAATTGAACTAAACTTTAAGTACTGGTTTAACGCTGACTTTATCAGAATAAAAATGCCAACAAAAGAATACTTGGGTTAAACTCAAAGTAATCTAAGACCCATTCATTTTTATTTTTATTTTTTTTGGGGGGGGGAGAGATTTTCACTGTAGGGCGCGTGCGCTCGCCAGACAGACAGAGAGAGACATAGAGACAGAAAGCGAGAAATCACCCCCCAGGGGGGATGGTCACGCCGCAATCCCTTCTCCTCCATTCTCCTCTCGGGATCTTGGGCACGCACGCACACGCGCCAGGCATGAGTTTTTAGCCACCGGGTCCGGGACATGAACCGCGGTCGACTATGTGGGAGTCCAGCGACATAGCCATTACGCTAACTGCTGGTTCCCAGACCCATTCATTTTTCAAATGGCAATTAGTAAGATTGGTAGAGGGCCATCCAGTGGCATGGTGGTTGGTGGGACTGGATCCCACATGGCCAACTGCACGATGCAAGTCCAGACCCAGCAGTTTGAAAAACATGCCAGGAACTTGAGCTTATGTGCCCAAAATCCCAGAGGGAGAAATAGAAGAGAAGGGATTGTGGCACCCTGTTGAGAGTGGGGGGTGCATTCTCATTTTCTCTCTCCATCTTTCTCTCTGTCTCTGCAGCATGGACACCGTGTGGCAATTTTTCTTTTGTGTGTGTGTGTGTGAGATTTTTCCTATAGGGCATGTGTGCTCACCTGAGAGACAGAGACAGAAAGTGAGAAATCATCCCCCATGAGGGTAGCCACGCTGCATTCTCTTCTCCAGTCTTCTCTCAGGATTTTGGACATGCACATACACATGCCCAGTGTGAGTTTTAAGCTGCCGGGTCCAGGACTCGAACCACAGTCAGCTACATGGGAGTCCAGTGATATAACTTTCATGCCATTTGCTTGTCTCATGGCAAAATTTTTAAAAATAAAAATAAAGAATGATAGAATTAGAAGACACATAGGATTTGAAATACTGTAAGATTGTATGATAGGAAATAGGTCTCCAGGCAGGTCTTCTCTAATTATTACATGGCGTCTAGATTTTTTTGTTGCCAGGGCAGGGGGTGTTTGCATGGTATTTTTGAGAGAAAGGATGGCAGGGGCTCACTCACAAATTGTGTAATCAAATATGATTGCCTAAAGCTACAGTGTTAGCATTTGGTCATTATAGCAAAAAGGAACATGTAGAACCCATCATTTTACTACTTGACTTATTGCCAGTTAAATCTTTGATGTATATCCAAGTCCTCCAATAAAATAGATTGGTATATTTTATGGTGCTTTGTGCTCATTTATTTGGGGCCTAACTGTGACACACTTGAGTTCCAGTTTTCAAAACTTAGGTTGCAGAATGGCAGCCTGTGAGTCACTTCTAGCTTTCAGGCATATTTAGTTTAGTGCTAAGACTAGAACACCGTTCATTTAAATTTGAAACATGTATATAGTTATCAGTAGATGCACCATAAGAAAACAGTAAGTTAAATAGGATAAGAGGAAGACTTTTTATATCCTGTCAAAGCTTTGAATTTAGTTCTAGGTGCTTGTATTTAAAAAGTAAATATTACTTCTCAGTTTTTTTCTGGTGAAGATCAAGTGTAGTAAAGCATAAGTAAAATAATGTGTTGAAAGATAAAGTGGGGTGAGAATATCATTTATAATTTTCTATCAACTTTTCAGATTTAAGTGAAATGGATAATTTGCTAAAAATGTAAATTATCAAAATTGACTCAAGACAAAGTAAGTGAACTAATAATCATAAAATAAGGAAGTAGTTAAAGAATTGTTCCTAAAAAGGGCATCAGGCCCAGAGAGGTGTTTAGACCAGTTCTGACTTCAGAAAGCAGGTAGCTTCTATGACATAGAAACTCTAAAGGAAAAGTACAATCTCAATTTATAAAAATATTAAAAAATTAAAAGAGCTGTCAGCAAGGTCATGAATGATGGAGGAATCTTTTAAGACGAACAGAGTCTTACGGTGTTATTTTTTAATTACCTTATTTCTAGGTTCACCAAGCTGGTCTAACCTGTGATTATTCAGAACTTCCTCACCATATCAGCACAGACCAAGAAATTGATCATCTTATTCAGTCTGTATATTATGTACTAAAAAATTTACCAAAACCTACTCTTGTAACAATTGCAAGGTAAGTGTGGTAGGTGATTAATGCCTACCAAAAAATGACCATGTCCTAATCTCTGGTACTTGTGAATTTGGTGTCTTTGATGGCTAAACAGACTTTGCATAGTCATTAACTCAAGGATTTTTTTTTTTATTGCTTTTTTTTCTTTTTTTTTTTTTGGAGAAATTTTCACTGTAGGGCGCGTGCACTCGCCAGACAGAGAGAGACATAGAGACAGAAAGCGAGAAATCACCCCCCAGGGGGGATGGTCACGCCGCAATCCCTTCTCCTCCATTCTCCTCTCGGGATCTTGGGCACGCACGCACACGCGCCCAGCGTGAATTTTAAGCCACCGGGTCCGGGACACGAACCGCGGTCGACTACGTGGGAGTCCAGCGACATAGCCATTATGCTAACTGCTGGTTCCCAACTCAAGGATTTTTGACATGAGGGGATCATGGATTATTCAGAAGGGCCCAGTGTAATCACATGAGTCCTTATGAAAGGATAGCAGGAGGGTCAGAATCAGAGACAGTGAGTGTAGAAGATGCTATACGCTGGCCTTGAAGATGGAAGATGGGGCCACAAGGCAAGGATTGCAGGCAGCCTCTAGAAACCAGAAAAGACCAGGGAATAGATTCTCTCTGAGGGCCTGCAGAAAGAATGTAGTCCTGCTACTCCTTAATTTTTGGACTTCTGACCTCCAAAACTAACATAATAATTCTGTGTTGCTTTAAGCCACCAAGTTTGTGGTGATTTTTACAGCAGCAGTAGGAAACAAATACAATCTTTGTAACAGAGGCGATAAACCCCTGAATTCCCAAGCACCACCTCCCTTCCAGGGAAACGGGTTCAGGTGGTGTGGATTCGAACTTACTAGCTATGATATTACACATAGTAGTCCTCCTTTGTTCCAGATTCCTTTAAAGGGGTAATCATCACTTTTTTGTTTATTTGATTAAAGACAGGATCTTACTATGTCTTACCCTCCTGCCTAGTCTTCTCAGTCTCAGCGAGTACAGGCGCTCGTAGCGTTTAGAGTGGACTGGGACTCAAACCCAGGCCTTTTGTTTGTCTTCAGCCTACTGGAAAAGCTAGTACCAAAAAGCATTGTCTCCCAGCGTACACTGCTGCAGCTGAGCCTGTACCTATCTTTATATAGTTGCTGAGAAAATTAAGCTTAATTCATGTAAGTACCTGACACTGGGTAAACATTTAATAACTTTCAACTGCTACTGTTCCAAAATCTAATAAATCTTCATTTCTCTTTAACATTCAAATCAATACACATCGACTTCCTCTCTGCCCAGTTTGATTTTTATCGTATTCATAGGGTATTTTTTTTCCTTTCTCTCCTTGGTTCCAGGTCAAGTTTGGATGATTACTGTCCTTCTGAGCAAGTTGACACCATTCAAGAAAAGGTCCTTAATGTGCTACGTTCCCTCTATGGGACTCTGGACATCCACCTGGTGTATTCAGAAGAGTCTTCTCCATCTTGAAACAAACTAAACACTGGCTCCTGTCACATTGTAGTGTGATAACAGGGTTTTCATTAACTTTTATGTAAATGAGTCTTCCAGAAAACACTTTTTATGTTAACCTTCAGTTGAAATCTTTCAGACATTTAGAAATCCAGACATCCAAACAGCTATTATCAATTGTTGAATAATGGCAATATTTTTGGCATTGAATCTACTTCCCCCAGTTGGTGGAATTATTGCTTATCTTTCTTCCCTTCCAATATTGTCTTTATTTAGCTGCTTATTTATGTTTTTATTCATCCTGTGAGCAAGAGAGAGAGCTCAGTAGCACTCCCAACAGGGTTCTAGCTCCACGTTCCATGCCCAGCCTTTATCTAGGCCTGGTTTATGGGAAGTGTGTGCCCAGTGTACTCAGGGAGGTCTCTGCACTTGAACTGGGAACCTTCTCGTGTGGTATTACCTCACAGAGCTCCACTTACTTTTTAAGTCTTTTTTTTTTTAAAGAATTATTTAATTTTATTTGTTTTTTTTTTTTATTTTGACCAGAGGAAAAGTGAGAGAGCAAGCTGCCAGGTCCATATGGCTTGAACCATAGTCAGCCATAAGGAAGTCATTTTACCACTGTGTTTCTGTTTTGTCCCCATTGTCTTTATTTTTGTTAAGGTTTTTCTCCCTTCTTCCTCCCCTAGGTTAATTAAATTGCACGAGATTCATTCGTACATTATTTATTCAACCAACTAATAATTAACATTTACATGTACCAGACATTATTAAATGCTGAGTATAGTAATAAACATAATATACAAGGGCTCTCGAAGAAAATAGATTAAAAAAACTTATGTGGAAAGTGTGGTGAAGGAAAGACAGATAAAAAAGGAATTTGGGGGAAGACAGATAAAAAAGAATTTATGTGGAAAGTGTGATGCAGGAAAGGAAAAACACAAACATGTCTTAGGCATGTTTTTTAAATTCAGGGCATCCTGGCCTTATAGGAAAGTAACATTCCTAAAAGCTCCTACCAAAATAAAACAAACACCTGGCTGGTCCGTGAAGATGTTGCAGGAAGTCTATTTCCAAGGGTTTTGGGACTTGGCTGGACTCTTGCCCGGGGCGTTCTAGCATTCTTTGTAATAAAGAGATCTAGTTGAATAAACCTGACCAAATACAAATTAACTTTTTTTTTTTCTAATCAGAAAAGCTCTTCAGGATTTTTTGTGCTTCTGGTAGCCATTTTGAGCATCAATTATTGGGTTGTCAGAGAAGTCATGACATGTTTTTCTATGCAGAATTGAGTCATGACTTTTCCAATAACCCAGTATCATTATAGTTTCTAAATGCCACTTTATTGGCAGTCTGGGTTGACAATTTTTTCAAACAAGCCTCTTTTGGTGTAAGTAGTAGAGAAAAAATCTTTAATTCTGACCTCCCAAAGATATCCAAGAAAATCACTGTCTTCCACCACCCCTCCTGAGTCAGTCTTAATTATGAAACTTTTCATTTTATCACTTTCCAAAGTCTTACCTTATTCAATATCCCATTTAATTATTTTAACTACCTAGTTGATATCTTTTTCTTTTAGAGATAAGATAGCATTTATAGAAAACACACACCGTCAGTTCTCAGCCCTAATAGCAGTTGTTTTCATTTTTGTATGTAACTTATGACCTATTCAAATGCATACCCAATCCATATAGCCAAGATTGTTTTATTCTCTAACTTTACAGCTAATACCCGAAGACACACTACCATTGTCACTGAGTAGATAGCATCAGACCTCATTTTTCCAAAGATTCTATTCTCCATTGAATTCTTCCTGTCACTAACTTTGATTTCCGAAGTCTGACAGTATGAGTGCCTATTTGTATTTAAGAAACAAAGCAAACTGATTTAGCTATCCATTTTGATGAAACGTGCCAAAAATATTTATGTTCACATTCTCAGTAAAATGAGAATTGTAAAATTGCGCTATTTATTTCTTTTTAGAGTTTGAAAATTTTCTGATTGAGTTCTGTAAAGAGATATAACTTTTATAAGTTAATTATTTTGTGTGCTAAAATAAATTAAAAGGTATGTTTTGAAGTTTTAAGGATTATAAATCAAAACTATAGCTCTAAAGTATGTGTGATCTCAGTGTGTTGATTGCATTGATTTTATGAGTCTGGCTTACTAATCATTTATTTCAGTTTCCGAGAACTCAGATGTGATTCATTGTTGTTTTAACTTAGGTTAAATAAAAGAATATCAGTTTCCTTTAAAGGAACAATTGGATGTATAGTTCTCATGCTCTGTGACTCTGAAAAATAAAATTCAGCCCCTACTTGTTTAATGGAAATAACTTTGTAAATTACAACTCTACATATTCAAAATAAGAAAATGCTTAATTGATCAAGACATCTTTCATTTGTTTTCTAAGTACCACTGAGGGAATACCATGGCACAGCACTTTGGATTATGTACAAATATAATTTGAAACAGAATTTGAGCAGCCTTTGAAAAAATGTAACTTAAATGTAAGCATAGGCCTTAGCTCTAAACATAAGTATGTATTTCTCGGTATCCAGAAGGGGAAAAGTATTTTTAAATTATAGCCTTAGATAATGTACTTTTGACGGGCAATTATCTCTTCAGAAATGTTTTCTATGGACATTCATCTCTGTGCTATAAGTTCTTAGGAGTTCTCAGCCATGTCTTTTATTCTTTATCTCCATTTTCTGTTAGCCATGGTAGGTCATTGGCAGTAGATGTTTGGTACTGCCAATATTTACTGTCAGACAACCTAAATATCCATTATTACAGTAATCAATAGCAAAGTAAGCTATGGTACAACCATACCATGAAATATTACATACTAGCATAAAAGAATGCTGTACATCAGTATGTACTGATATGGAAAGAACTCCATGTAGATACTAAGAATAAAAAGGTTTAGAGTAATGCGTAGAACCATCCCATTTATTAAAATATAAAAACCTCAGAATATGATTATACAGTTAAAAAAAAAGATATTAGCCACTAGCTACTTGTGGCTATTTTCATTTACATTTTAATTTAAAATTCAGTTCCTGGTCTCATAAACCATAATTACAGTACTCTTATAGTCATGTATGAGCTGCAGCTACTCTATTGGACTCTAAAGATATAGGACAATTTCATTAAAGAATAGTCTATTTAATACTGATCTCAATTCTTTTTTTTTTTTTAAAGAGGTTTTTGTTATAAGGCTCGTGCACTCGCCAAAAAAAGAGACAGAAAGTGAGAAATCACCCCCCAGCAGGGATGGCCATGCCGTAATCCCTTCTCCAGTCTCCTCTCAGGATCTTGGACACTTGCACACACATGCACCCAGTGTGAGTTTAAGCCACCATGTCCAGGACTTGAACCATAGTCAACTACATGGGAGTCCAGTGACATAGCCATTGTGCCAACTGCTGGTCCCATGATCTCAATTCTTAATAAGACAGACCACCATCCTCATCAATGAGAACTTCATTAATTAAAGTATCAGTATCGCCCGGGACATGTTAGAAATGCAGAATCTTGGGCTCCTACCACATTTACTGGGCCAAAAATCTGCATTTCAACAAGATCACTGGGTAACTTGTGCATTCAAGTTTAAAAGCACTGCACTAGCACCATTGTCACCAGCATCAAAAAGCTTTAAGCTGGTCCATCACCCATTGATTGTCAAACAGCATATTTGTGTGTGTGTGTGTGTGTGTGTGTGTGTACCTGCTGGAGAGAAAGAAATCACCCCTCAGGGGCAATGGCCATGCCACAATCCCTTCTCTATTCTCTTGGGATTTTGAGCGCGCGCGTGCGCGCACACACACACTTGGCATGAGTTTTAAGCCTCCAGCTTCAGGACTTGAACCATGGTTGGCCATGTGGGAGTACAGCGCCTTAACCATTATACCGCCTGCTGGCCCAAAACAGAAATTGGAATTTCTTAATGAGTGAACAATTTCAGGGATGGAATGTTTCAGGGATGGAATGCTTATGGGATGGAATGAATAAAATGGAGATAAAGAAATGTATTAATACAGATGTGCTAATTATTATTAGTGGATTTCTTCTCAGTCAAAAGATTGTAAAGATGCTAGTTACAGAGATCTTTGAAAAGAAATATAGTCAGTGGTTATGTTTTGTAGATAACAAGCTGGCTCAGAATAAAATATCCAGTAACATCGTCGCATACAAATTCAAAATAGTGCTCTCTTGAAAATTTAGAAGGAATTGAATATGATGGCTCCTTGAAATGTGTTAAAAGACTCAAAAAAAACATGATGAAACCACTGATAACAGGCATTTTCTGCTGCCAAACAACTTTGCAAAAGCCTTCCTTATCTTCTGCAAACTTGCACACTAAAAATAACAGGGCTTATAAAGTAAAAGTGTTAAGGCAGACCACTGAGAACCTATTCAATCATGTAATATGGAGGTGAAGAAAGAATAACCCAGTAAGAAATACTAACATAGTGATTAGTAATCCTTGTGTATATGGTCAGTAGATTTTTGGCAAAGGTACTGAAAACCTCTAGTGGAGAAAGGATGATCTCTTAAACAATTAGTGCTGGGAATATTGTATATCTGTATGCAGAAAAATGAAATTTGATCCCTATCTCATATACTATACAAAAATCAACTCAAAACTGATTCAAGACTTCAATATAGGCCCCAAACTATGAAAACACTAGAAAAAAAGATATGGGAAATACTTCAGGACATTGTTCTAGGCAAAGAGTTTTTGAGTAAAATCCAAAATTACAGGCAATAGCAAATAGGCAAATGAGATTATATTAAATTAAAAGCTTCTGGGTAGCAAAGGAAACAATAGAGTGAAGAGACAACCCACATAGTGAGAGAAAATATTTGAAAACTATACATCTAAAAGGAATTAATAGCATATACAAGGAACTCAAGCTCAAGCAACTTGACAACAAAAGAACAAATAACCTATTTAAAAATAGGCAGATGGGGGACCAGCAGATGGTATAATGGCTACATTGCTGGACTCCCATGTGCTTAGACTCGTGCTGGACACGTGTGCGGGCGTGCCCAGGATCCCAAGAGGAGAATGGAATGGAGGAGAAGGGACTGTGGCATGGCCATCCCCCCAAGGAGTGGTTTCTCGCTGTCTGTCTTGTCTCTGTCTTTCTGGAGAGCGCACACTCCCTATAGCAAAAACCTTTCAAAAACAAAAAAAAAATAGGCAGTTGACCTAAATAGTTCCCAAAAGAAGATGTACAAACAGCAAACAAGCATATGAAAAAAGTCAACATCACTAATCCTTAGGGAAATGCAAATCAAAACCAATGAGATATCTCACCCTTATCTAAAAAGGTGACTTATCAAAAAGCCGTAAAATAATAAAAGTTGGCAAGTGGGCATAGAGACATCTTTAACAATATTAATGGGAATGTAAATTGCACAGCCAATATTGAAAACAGTATAGATCTTCCTCAAAAAAAAAAAAAATTAGAACTGCAAAAAAAAAAGAAAATAAAACTGCCATGTGATCCAATAGTCCCACTAATAGGCATACATCCAAAGGAAAGGAAATCAATATGTCTTAAAGATAGCATACTTCAGCCTTCATTGCAGCAGTATTCACAATAGCCAAGGTATGGAATTGACATGGGTGTTCATCAATTGATGAACAGATAAAGGAAATTGTGTGTGTGTGCACACACATGCACGTGTGTGCAAACATACTATACAATGGAATATTATTCAGTCACTAGAAAGAATGAAATCCTGGGTCCAGCAGGTGGTGTAGAAATTAAGGCACCTGGATCCCACATGGCTGACTTCAGAGTCCCAGACCCGGTGACTTGAGAAATATGTCAGACGTGTGTGCATATATGCCCAAAATCCTGAGAGGGTAATGGAAAAGAGATCGTGGCGTGGCAATCCCCTTTACAGGGTGGTTTCTCGCTTTCTCTCTCTCTCTCTCGTCTCTGTGTCCAGTGAGCATATGCACCCTACAGCAAAGAAAAAAATAATAGAAAGAAGGGCCTCATAGAAGTAGGTAGTGGAAGAATGGAGGCTGGGACGGATGGGTGTGGGGAGTGGGCATAGGTAGGCATTGGTCAACAGAAACAAAATTACAGGTACATAAGAGGAATGAGTTCTATTGTTCTAGTATAGTAAGGTAACTATAGTTCACAATATACTGTAGCTCTCAGGGTAGCTTAAAAAAAAAGCCAGGATTTTGAATATTCCCAACACAAAATAATGATGAAGTGTGAGATGATAGCTATGCTAATTACGTTGATTTAATCATGGCACATTATAATCTTGTTCTGAAAGAAAAAAAAAATGCCTTTATACCACATAAATATGTACAGTTACTATGTTAAGTTAAAAAAAAAAAAAAAAAAAAAAAAAGAAAACGAACAACAAAAACCTTTCCTCAAAGAACACTCAGGCCCAGATTGTTTCTCTTGGGAATTCTCTCAGCCATGTAAGGAAGAAATCAAACAAACTTAAACAAACTCCTTTAGAAAATAAAAATTGTTCCCAGCTCATTTCATGAATCCAATATAACCCTGCCTGCCACTACTTGACAAAAGATTTTACAAGAAAAGAACATTTGAGACCAGCATTTCTCAGGATGCAAAAATGACAAAACAGCACATTGAAAGCAGCAATACATAAAAAGAAAGGGTGACACATCACGATTAAGTCATGTTTATTCCAGGGAAGCAAGATTGCTTTAACATTTAAACACCAATTGATGTCATTTGCCGTATTAACAGAATAAAGGACAAAAAACAACTGATGATCTAAATAAATGCAAAAAAAATAAATAAACTTCACAAAATTCAATAGCCATCATGATTTAAAAACAAAAAACAAAATCTCTTAGTAAACTGGGACTAGAAGGAAACTTTTGGGGTTTTTGTTTCTTTGTTTTGGTTTTGTTTTTGTTTTTAGAGAGGTTTTGCTCACCAGAGAGACAGAGACAGAAAGCGAGAAGCCACCCCCCAGGGGGATGGCCATTTAACAGTCTCTACTCCTCCATTCTCCTCTCAGAATTTTGGGCATGCACACACACACACACACACACACACATGCACACTTGTAAGGAGTGAGTTTCAAGCCACCAGTCCAGGACTCAAACCACAGTCCACCATGTGGGAGTCCAGTGTAGTAAACCTTAAGCCATCTGCTGGTCCCAAACTAAGCAAGATTTTTAGGAATCAACCTGACAAAAGATGTAAAACCTCTACAATGAAAGCTCTCAGTATAACACAGTGTCGCTCAGACTATTTACTAAAGTACTTTGTAAGGAGCTTCTGCTATGGCACTGATTTTTTTTTTCTTTTTTATTGCCAGAGGGGGCATTCACAGACCAGAGAGAGGAAGAGGAAGAAAGCACTCCCATTGGGAATGGTCTCCCTGAGTCTCTTCTCCATTTCTGCATCCTGAAGGGATTCTGATCATGCATAAATGCACATGCTCCCATGTGAGTTTGCAAGCTCAGAGAGAACTCCAATCATGTGGCAGGCCCTGTAGGATCCAGCTCCTTTAACCACCCCCAGGCTACCAAGCCAACCCAAAGGCATTGATGTTTTCATGAAGTCTTCCTTGAGCTGAGTAAGAGACTTCTATAGGCCTCGGATAGACTTACATTACTACTAGTCAACACTACCTTCAGTTGATAAAAACTTAAAAACAAACAAACAAACAAAAAACAA